AGGCCTCGTGAGGGTTTCGGGGAGTGTGCTTGGCAGGGCTTTCACTGCATCTAAGGCTTGGGTTTAGGGATCAATGCCTATGCACGGGCCGGTGGAGATAGTCTGTGGTCCTGCTCGTGGAGTTGTTGGATCCTGCTAGTGAACTGCAGGTCCATCGGAGGTAGGAGGATCATCGAGAGCACACCTGTCGAGATCATGTAGAACGGATCGCTTCACTGAGGGCCTCCTTAGCTTGAAGGTCAGTCTTGGGATTTATGGGATACCTAGCTTCCGGATCTGGTTCAGGTGTCTGAATGGCCAGGCACCCTCTTCTCCAAGATCAGAAAGAAAGGCTGTCACCACTTGTGAAACTTGTGCTCGGCCTCTCGAAACAAGACGTCCTTCAATCCGATTCGCCTCCTGCACCTAACATCCCCAGACAACAAAAACACAGAAAGCTGGTCGACGTGAGTTTCCGCAGCTGTGTCGTTCTTGCCGGCATCATCACGGCATCAATGAGCACCAGCCCCACCAACAGCGCCAGCACCAGCAGGCCAACGTCGACCCTGAGCATTGTCATCATCAGGATCACGAGGACCCTCTTCTTAAGCTATTGGCCGACAAGGTGATCTTCATCTTCATCACAGCAGCCTTATGAGCAGCATGCTCAGCATCTTCAGTGTTGTCCTCGTTGCCATCTGATGACCGCTGTCATATACACCCCACAAGCGCTACACAAACCTGCCAGCCGAAGACAACCACGACCACACCAGCACCGCAATTACCAGGAGCACAATCACGTGCTCTGCACCCTTCAGGCAAGACGGTGTGAACCAGCTGATGCCTTTCAAGCGCCAGCTGCTGGGCGTAGCGTAGATTCGTGTTTTCGGGTGCTCTATTTGAGTTCGGCTTCTGCGCAAGCTTTCAGAGGTGGAGTTTGTGGCCGAAGCCACCAGAACATCCGCGGCTTCAGGTCTAAGCCTTCGGTTCTTGAGCATGGGACAATGTACATAGGGGTTTCCGTCGCAGGGCACGTTGCATCGTAGCCGCAGGAATGTGATAGTACGGATGCAGAGGGTTCTTGAGGACTGCTGTCGCTGTAACCCCGCTCCGCTCCACGCTCGCGGCACTGAAGCAGGCACACCACAAGGCCTGCATCCCAAAGCATCTGCGACTCGAGGAAGACCCGCGACAACGGAACCTGGGGCCTGCAGCGCCGGAAAACGCAGGCCTTCTTTGCTTCGGGGCAGACTTCCGCAGAGACTTTAGGGTTTCAGCTAGCGGGTCTCCTCCGCACGTTCATGTGGGGATCGGTCGTTCTTTGCTCGGCTAGCGGCTAGACTCCTTCCCCAACGCCACACCCAGTCAGGCCCTAAGGCATGGTCAAGTCCGGCAACCCCACGCATGGGGTGGGAGTGCAAGAGCTCGAGGCTCCTAAACTCCCCAGCCAAGTACAAGTACCCTTGATAATCCAGTCCGGGTCTAAGTGGGTACCCGTATGTGTGCTACATAATATGTGTATGTTAGACGCTATGATAGAGTGCAGTTTGGGGTTTAGGTTGGGCTTCGTGCCCGGAGCAACCAGCAGTCTTTCGCGAAGAACTGATCCAACAGTTGACAAACCTCTAAGTATACCCACCACCTGTTTTTGTATAGCTCCCTGTCGCAGGAGTATAATGTGGATCTGCACATGTGCTCAGGCAATGGAGGACTACCTGAACCGGTCCCAGTCCTTGGAGGAGGAGCTACCGGGAGCTTGAGGGTTCCTTCGGAGTTGAGCCGTGAGGCAGAGCCTGAGGGCTTTTAAGACTTGAGCGTGAGGGTTTGGAGTTTCGACTTGTAATAAATTAGGGGACCTATGAGTGTCTGAAGGTCTGCGGAATCCGAGCCATGAGAAACCATAAGAAGGCTGCACGGCAAGTATTCGAAGCAAGAGGTTTTCCAACACGGACGCAGGTCGCGCACAAGCGCAATATTCAGACCGTACATCTTGCTCGTGCGTAACATAAGCAGGCATGTATGGATCGCTTGCGGTTTAGGCCAAACCGGCCTCAGCAGTCCTGGCAGAAATAAAAACGGGAGTCCAGTGCAAAGCTGCCATCATCATCATCATCATGTTCGTCGGATTTGGGCGAGACCTGCGTTGCGAGCAACTCAGAACACCCTCTGATCTCAATGTGAGCTCGGGTGTCCACAGTCTTTTGTTTTGCAGCTTGGCTACCTGAACCCTGAGACACTAGAAAATTGAACCCCAAGCCGCTTCAAGCCCTTGATTACAGCTTTGGACCCTTCTAGAGCCTGGGACCCGAAGCCCTTCAGAGCCCTAAACCACTCTAAGCCCTGGCGCCATCCTCTGAGCCATTAACTTCGTGACCCCGCCTTGCTGGCAGGTGCCCGCGGACAACGCCAAGGGCCCGAAACCCGTCACGCCGGACAACATCGCGGTGATCCTTTTCTTGAATAACCCTGAGATTCCAAACTCTTTGTAGTGCCCATTCATTATCAATCCACCCTGCAGTACGATACAGAGCATCTTGACCTAGGTGCGCAGTACTTATAGTAGTAGCAGCAGCAATTGCCATAGTGCTAGCACTACAGTAGCGGCCACAGAGGCACTGCTCGCTGCTAGCTGCTGGCACGGAAGCAAAAAAAAGTGTCGTACTGGTGGGAATGAAGGGGACAGAAATGGTAATTGGTACTCGCAGACACAACGGGGAGATCAATGTCAACAAGCCTGCTTGTCATTGCTTGTCATTGCTTGCCATTGCTAGCCACTAGTCTATGAGACGTAGTGATCCCGGTACCTCTTAGAAAACACTCTTACCGAGAAAGGAGTCACCTGAGCTGCTGTAGCGAGAACATCTAGACCCTCCGTTGAAGCTCCATCGTTGGTTCGGTTCAGCTAGCAATACCGCGCTGGCAGGGCCCAATCGAAACTATGCACCCGACATGAAGCAAGGGGAAGTCGCGTTGCCGAAGCGGATCGTTCAAGAAGATCCGACAGGCGTTCAGGGGCATCTGGGAACGAGGAGGCGGGAGAAATGGAAGTAGAGCAGCTGAGATTGTTTCAGGAATCTTCGTGTGCAGCGTGGCCCAGACTGGCAGCGGGGTCAAGAGGACCGAAGCAGAGCGGCACAGTAGTACACAGCATTCAGTTGCCTTTCCCGCCCGCGCTGCGTCGCTTCGCAGGTTTTGCTGCAAGACTCTCAGACCGTCTGCTTCAACGAGGGTCCGCAGCCCACGAATTTCTAGGATGTACGAACTGGAGTAACTAGACTTGATCTAGAAACCTCGGGCCTCTGCGGCGGTGTGCTGAAGTTGCTGCACGTTGGCTAAAGCTGGGCTAGGGTACTGGCCCAGCGGTGAAGGGTGGTGAAGGTGAAGGTTTCGGTGAAAGTGTACTCCTGCACAAAGTCCCCTACCCAACGCATTGCCCCAGAATCTCTTCGACTCCCTTTGCTCTCAAGATTCTCATCTCCGGCCACACAATCAACTAACGATACCACCCGTGATGCAGCATCACTGATCAAATCAAACGCTGCAGAAAGTGAGACGTTTCCCCTGCAGTGACCCGAATGAAGGACATTGATACAAGATACAAGCACTGATAATGCGAAGACAAGCGTCAAAGTTGCAACAGAACTAGTTGCTCACGCTCTTGGCCAGGACGGCGGCGCTGGCAAGGCCCTGTACTTGCGGTACCGGTTCTTGCTTCAAAGGGTTCACTTGAATGTCAATGTAGGCAAGGAAAAAGGGCTCGTCGAATGCCATGTACGGGTGTCCGATACCATGTCGGCGGTTTGACATGGTTTGAGTAATGTAGGGGCCTAAATAATTACCAATACCCTTGTGGTGTTCCTTGTTTTAACTAGAGAAAAGCAAATATGACACAAACACCTTTTTCGAACTGTTCATGCCCCGGTTGCGAGAGTAGGCTTCTGGCACAGGTGGGCGTCATCTTGTCTTTCGACACCACGAAGACGCTTGGCAATGGCCGAAGCTGAAGCATAGAAAATCCTGACATGTCTTATGACTCCCAGTATCAGTGTCCATGCTGTATTTATCCTTTGAGTAAGTTGTCAATATGTTCGGTCATCACCCGTTTCTGCCACGAGCAGCTCTCTCCGCAGCTTCGCTCCACACCCACACCCACATGCATCCCCCGCAGCACAACAGCCGCAGCCCCCGAGGATGACAGCACAAGTCCTGTGGGAAGGATCTGGGAAGGCGCACTCCCACTACCAGCCGCTTGTTGCAGGGAGTCCCGAAGCCTCTCTGAGCCCTGACCTTGGGAAATCAATTGTGAGCTCAGGGGTGTACTTTCGGAGTGGGCTACAGTCCCCTGGCTCTATTTTCGGATGCAGCACAGCAAGCATAGAGGGGGCATAGCCGAGGTACGGAAAGTTGAAGGAGCTCGTGCTGTATGTCGGCAGCAACAGCCGCTTGGAACGTTCATTCTCGTTACGATATTTGATAGTGTAATTCTTGCTACTATTGTTATTATTGTTAGTGCCATTATTACAACGATACGTGGCCCTCGGGAAGATCTCGAAGCTGTGCTGCCTTTTCTTGCAGCCCCTGGCCGGTTGAACTGTCACAGCATAAGTTTCAAGATTCAGAAGTTGGTGAAGGGTAGAGGCCTGTAGAATAGTGCATGTCTTCTTGGGAGTGAGCACCGAATGAGAACAGACCTGAGAGTCTTTGCACGCGGGGTCTGAGGTGAGAGCCTTACAAACTTCAAACCGCAAAATGTAGGAGCCAAAACATGCACGTAAACGTAAGGATCCTGATGTCGGGGCACTAACAAGGCGTGTTTCTAGAACCCGTAATTGCCGGAAACTAATGCTTAGGTGGTCTTTGGTTTTTCTCAGAAGTGGCGCATTTATCCTTGGCGCCCTCTAAAGAAAAGCCCGACAGAAACCCCAAGCCCGAGCCCTGTAAGGAAACTAAACCCAAACACCCAGCTGCCAGCGAAGCAGGTGGGAAACAAAGCTGTAGAAGCGACAAAAAATACCGCGGAGGTACGCTAGCCACAGCAGCGCTGGGCAGGCGAAACTCACAGGCCTTCTTCGCGGCGCCTCGTTGGCATTGAGGTTGTATTATGGGTTGGAGCAGCTTGCGCGTGGGTTTGTGGAGTTCCGCACGTTTTAGGTTTTTGGGTTTGCTGTTGGAAGCCTCAAGTGCTGGCTCCTTGGTTTAAGGTTTCGCGCTCCTAATCTGCGAAGGTTATGGCCCCGGGCCAGGAGGTCCCAAACGGCTTCGAGTGCTGGTAGAGTTTAGACGTACGTGCTTTTAGGGGTGTTCAGGGTGATGTTCGAATCGCGTGCCCTGGGACCGCACGGGCTCCTGGCATGCGTGCAAGCGTTTGGCGTTCAATAGGGTGCTGCTTAACTTGAGATTGAATGACGTATGCCTTCAGCTTTTGTCATGACTTCAATCAACACAGATTCAGGCGGTGATCTTGCTGGTCAGTAACGAAATATTTCCGCTTGATAAGAAAAGCTGCACATAGTCGTAGCATCAATGATGCTTGCATTCACAATAACTTTTGATGGGCTTGCGGTGCAAGATTCCCCATTTCGCCGTTTCTGAGATAGAGAGAGAGTGTGTGTGTGTGTGTGTGTGTGTGTGTGTGTGTGTGTGTGTGTGTGTGTGTGTGTGTGTGTGTGTGTGTGTGTGTGTGTGTGTGTGTGTGTGTGTGTGTGTGTGTGTGTGTGTGTGTGTGTGTGTGTGTGTGTGTGTGTGTGTGTGTGTGTGTGTGTGTGTGTGTGTGTGTGTGTGTGTGTGTGTGTGTGTGTGTGTGTGTGTGTGTGTGTGTGTGTGTGTGTGTGTGTGTGTGTGTGTGTGTGTGTGTGTGTGTGTGTGTGTGTGTGTGTGTGAACCTCCCTAGCACATGGGAGCAGAGGGTCACTCCTTCTGTTTTTCACATGTGGACATTTGCAGGGGGCCATTCAGCCTTGCTATCAGGGAATGGCCAACGAAGAGCCTGATAGCAAGGTGCTGCAACGTACCTGCAAGGGGACGGAAACCATATCCCCGATGTGCCAGGGACAGAACCCAATCCCTACTACTTGGCATTTTGAACGTTTTACGCCCTGCCCGGACATCGCACTTCGACCGCGGCAGTGGCAGCCATTCTCTATGTCTGGCTCCGGGGACAGAAACCTATCCCACATTGTAATGCCAGGGACAGGACCCTTATCCCTACTACGTGGCATTTGACGACGATAGAGGACAGGAACCTCATCCTCACGACGCGACTTGACGACGACAACGTCTCTCTCTCTCTCGCCTCTCTCTCTTCCCCTTCCTGCATTCCTACTCTCGGCCGAATCAATCAGTGTGCTCAGCGTGGGTCATGAGACTCCAGAGCAACGGCTTTCCGTCATGGCGCCGTGGTGACCCTCCGGGGAGACCGGTGATGAACCGGGTGTTCAGCCTTCGTTCAGATCGTTCAGAATCTCCCGATGCTACTTTATCTCTCTCTCTCTGATGCTCGCATGTGAGTCTGACATGAGTGCAGGTGCAGTAAGGGGACGGCTAATGCAGTAAAGTGCGTCTAGTGAGCAGGTGCTACCTCGCTAGTCTGCCCTCTATTCTACCGCTTCTTTATTCCTCAGGGACTGCAAGGGCATGTGCATCTGACATGAGGGCAGACGCGGTAACAGTGTCTACAGCAAGTGAAACAGCGCTCTCTTCGGAGAGTACTCGGCCCTCTTTCTCGTCTCTTTCTTTCTTGACTTCTTTCCTGCCTACATGCCCCTGACGGGGCTGTGTGTGTGTGAACCTCCCTAGCACATGGGAGCAGAGGGTCACTCCTTCTGTTTTTCACATGTGGACATTTGCAGGGGGCCATTCAGCCTTGCTATCAGGGAATGGCCAACGAAGAGCCTGATAGCAAGGTGCTGCAACGTACCTGCAAGGGGACCGAAACCATATCCCCGATGTGCCAGGGACAGAACCCAATCCCTACTACTTGGCATTTTGAACGTTTTACGCCCTGCCCGGACATCGCACTTTGACCGCGGCAGTGGCAGCCATTCTCTATGTCTGGCTCCGGGGACAGAAACCTATCCCACATTGTAATGCCAGGGACAGGACCCTTATCCCTACTACGTGGCATTTGACGACGATAGAGGACAGGAACCTCATCCTCACGACGCGACCTGACGACGACAACGTCTCTCTCTCTCTCGCCTCTCTCTCTCTTCCCCTTCCTGCATTCCTACTCTCGGCCGAATCAATCAGTGTGTGTGTGTGTGTGTGTGTGTGTGTGTGTGTGTGTGTGTGTGTGTGTGTGTGTGTGTGTGTGTGTGTGTGTGTGTGTGTGTGTGTGTGTGTGTGTGTGTGTGTGTGTGTGTGTGTGTGTGTGTGTGTGTGTGTGTGTGTGTGTGTGTGTGTGTGTGTGTGTGTGTGTGTGTGTGTGCGTGCGTGCGAGAGAGGGAGAGAGGTTACACAGTTACATCTGCATTTATCCCGCATCCGGGCACGTGAACCTCGGGATCAGCATTTAGGATGTCAGATAGTCAGATAGTCGAGGCTCGAGGCACGAGCCATTAACGCAATCTCGGGATAGTCGCGCACGTAGCGTCACTGCCAACAAAGGACAAGGCGCAAACACTGCTGATCTTCGACTGGGACGACACCCTGTTCCCCACGACGTATGTCCGGGACGATCTCGACTTGAGCTTCTGGGCCTTGCGAGGTTAGAGGATCGTGCCCGAAAGGTGCAGGCTGCAGAGTTGTGGGTGAGCAGATTCGGCACTCATCTTCAAGATGTCGGAAGTGAGTGCCTCAAGTTTCCCTCAGAGAGTGCAGGCTCAGAGGTTGCATGATTCACAGTGCCGAGGGCGTTGGACCCTAAACTGTTGTTCAACCTCGCCACTGTTTTAACTCCTTGAAGTAAAGGAACTAAGGGAAGAAATAAGCTCCCACCCTTTGGCTCCTTCGGGCTTCGGGATAATATGGGTGGCTGGCAAAACTAGCGGTACCTTATTTTGGATCCTCAAAATATTACTATTTAGGGTACTATATTTGACTTCGCCTTCCACAAGCCTGCTTAGAGCGTGAGGTGTCAGGCAGCTTGACGGGTTTACGCGCTTACGCCCAGAAGTCAGCTGAGGTTGGAACAAGCCCCTCAAGGACCAGTCCTTGACTTGGGCCGAAAAGGCCCGGAAGCTGAAGCCCAAGCTGCTTTCAGGGCCTCAAAGAGGGCCTAAACAGCCTTTCAGAAAATGTCTCTGTGGCTCAAGTCTCCAGGCATAGGAGGCATCAGGTCATTATTTTCTGTATACACGTGCTGACGCATGCCCGTCCGTGATGAACGAGGCGGCCGCTTGCCAGGTGGACTGGCAGCTCGCACCCTTCCTTCGCGGCTTTTGCGAGCCGGCCTTTGCCACAGAGGTCCGCGAGTTCATCAGCCAACATGCCGAAGCCTTTTCGGAGCCCTGTGCCGACGGCTCCTGCCCTCTGACGTGGACGGAGCTGCACGAGGAGTACAGCGCACTCTTTGAGCGGCAGCTGAGAGCAGTCGTCCAGGAGGAGGGTTTCAGCCTGGAAGACTTCAAAGAGCATCTCGCTGAGCTCAGAGACTTTGCAGCGCTGCGAGCTCCCGATGATTACCTTCCCGGATGCGAGCCTTCCTACATCCCTCCCAGCTCAGGCATCCGTGTGGCCGAATTCTGGGATTTTCTCGAGGCGCTGACGGCTTCAAAGAACTTCGACAGCTTTAAGGAGCTCATGTGCATCGCAGCCCAGACGCAGCCGGCGCAGGGCTCAAGATCGCCCGACCTCTGCGGATATGCCGCGGTGCCTGCAGAGGCAGTGCAACCGCTACAACTCCGGGATCAGGTCGGCGCCACATCTTCTGACTCGAGGGCTCCTGTTCCGCCGCCTCCTCTCCCTGCGCCGATAGCCTCCGCGGCTGATGCTCCAGCTTCCCAGGGGTACAGAGAAGCTCCATAAAGATGTCAACCTCATTCACTGCCCAGGTTCTCGGTCCTTCTGTCAACCCACCGGCCTTATGTCAACCGACCACACACGCCCATGTACCTTCCAACGAACTACTGTCCTCATAAGCAGGCGGCGTCGGCGTTCTATAGTCTTGTCTGCCGGCCTCGCAGGCATCTTGTTCGATTTGGGACCGACATGTGCTGAAGCCATCTGGTGCCGAAAGAGAAGCGCAAGAACCGGTGGAGCCAGAGAAGGACAGCACGCTGAAGAAACGGCTTGGCCGCCGGCGCAGCGTAGCAAAAAGCCCAAGCCTTGTCATTGACTGCTCCAACTCTTGTGCCAGGCTGAGGTTCCGTTGCTTTGGGGATAAAAATCTAGAGGAGCCCCGGCTTGCAAGTAGCAGCACATACAAAAAGGGTGAACCCAGCGGTCGGAAGTGAACTCACCTGCCCGTGTTTTTAGCATTGCAAATCGAATCGAAGCTCTCCGATTCAATCAGGCTCTTCGACGCAGCCGAACACAGGAACCCGACACTCCCTAAACCCTCGAGTAGGGCTTGAAGGCCTCGTAGTACTACAAGATGCGAAGACCAATACTTCAATACTAACGATCATGATAGCTAGAATAACAAGAAGGAGAATCATAATACCACTACTATAATGACAATACTAATATAGAGTCCTGGGATTTAGCATCCGGGATTTTGTAGGAAGTGGAGTACCAAGGGATCATACGAGGGCAGATCGCCACGACTCTCTTTGAACTCCCCTATTTTGCCAATCCGATAAACAAAGCCCCTGGGCAAGAAAGCTCAAGGCTTGACACATCACAGGAGAACAGTAGCCGAGTGGCGGTAACAAAACATCTTGCAATGCATCCTCAGAGAAGATACATCCATTATTGGTTCAGCCATCGATCCGAGATGATCTTCCATGTTTGGGATGAGACGTTTAGGGTTGAGGGCAGAAGTCTGGATCTTCAAGGGCGAAGATGAAGCCATGAAAGAGGGAGGCAGATGTTCCTAAACGAAGGTCTGAATCTCCCGAATCCCCTCCGAAAAGCTTCGGCTGGCTGTTGTTACTTGACGTAGCCTACAGAAGTGCCGAACTGCAGCCTGCACGCTAAATCTTAAACCGCTCAGTAAGTCTGCATCCCGCGCTACTGCACAAGGCCCTGCGACAGTGGAGTCAGTCGTTCCTAAACGAAACGACAAGTTCCAGATGTCAAGCTCCGGCTCTACAGCCAGGCAGAGGTGGGAAAGAAGCTGGATCAGTGTGCTGCCCATGTTGCAACTCGGCAAGAAGCCTGGGATGCTCAGACAAATCGCCTCCCGCCCCCACTCGCAAAGCACCACGCTTGCCTCAGTCATCAGCGAGCTAAGGCATTCAAAACAATGCAGAGATTCAACTTGGACATCAGGCATGGCAACACAATTGGCCATCGTACCAACTGCAAAACAAATCAGCCTCGCAACAGCCGCAACAGCATTACCATGCTGTCGGCGGCGGCGACGGCAGTGTCGACGTTAACACGCGATGATGGCAACATCGCTGCAACCGTGAAAAAGACGACGAAGGTAGGCAGCAGCGGCAGCAACAACAACAGCAACTGCAAAGCAACAGCAGCAACATGAAGCATCAACGAACGAGTATGGCACTGACATCCGCTCCGTTGCAATGCGACAGTGAAACTCCAACCACACCTTTGCGGTCGAGCAGCACAGGCATGCAGAGCATGAACAAAGGAACCAACCCAAAGAAGTCCTTCAATACATGAGCCTTGAGAATTAGAGCACGGAATGGTCAGAACAGCCATAGCTGCAGAAGAGGAAACGACTTTTTCAAACCTTCAGGTGGAGCTCCTGAAGAGTGCCTGCAGCTTCGGAAAGGTTGTGCTGGTGACCCTGGCACGAGCACCCTGGGTTTCCGAGTCATGCAAGACGCCTGCCATAACAGCGTTGGTCTGAAAGACCGAGGGTGCACAGTGTAGATGTATGTAGATGGTCCTGCCGTCCCCTTTGAGTTTGCGAGGGTTTGCTTAAAAGCTGCGTGCGAATTGCGCCGCATTGCAGTTCAGGTGTCATTATGTTGATTGGGAGGATCTACCCCAAATTTGGCTTTCGATTGAACCCCTCATGGCTTCGGGTCGTGCTGTGTCATTGTACAGGGGAAGATGTCAAATCGCCTCTTCGACCGTTAGTGTGTCCGTACAAGTAGAGTCTCGAGTCTCGAGCAGTCCGTTTGGATGTGGTCAAACTCAGCACTTTAACGAGAGAGCGCCGAAACCCTCGTTGCGGTGTCCGCTCATGAAGCTTTCATTCGAGACGCGACCTTGTTGCTGTGGAGCCACAGTTCGATTTGCCAATGAACGTTTTCAGGTCTAGGTCGAGTTCTGGAATCTTAGGCTTGAGAAAGGACCCAGCCGCCACACATTGTTTCTTGTTCCAAAGGTCCTTCGCCCTGCCCAGTCATTTCTCTAGACCCTATAAGCCTCCGCCTTAAGTCCATGACTTCTTGGGCCGGGGCCCGGGGGTTTGTCGTGCTGAGGAACTTCTATGTTTCTGTGGGCCGGCTGATCAACCAGCTGAAGGCCGCGCTGACGTGACCAACGCAGCGGGAAAGGAAAGCATGTGCGTGAGTGCAGGACTTGTTCCTCCACCAGGGGATGTAGCCGACATAGGCTTCGAATGAATAACTCGATGCTCCTGCTGTACAAAAGCCGAACGAACCGAGAATTTAGCTCGTGAGACAGCCGACAGACCGTGATGTTCAGAACACCGATCTTCCGCCAGGTGCCAATCGTTTATGCGCAAGAAGGAATACAGGTGGACTACAACAAGTCCCAGATGACCTCTGATGAGGACCAGCAGGGGAGTTGGATTTCAGGTGTCGGACCTTGTTTTTTTGATTGCCAGGCCGAAATTTAGGGCTTTGCGTTGATCGAGAACCGAGAACCCCTAAGATGGAACGCGAGTACGGTGATCACATACCATAGAAATATTGTAAAAATATGTTACGGTTATGATGTACCATAATATATAGACTGTAGTTGGGCAGCCCCCACAGAATTTCGCTCCTCAGGGTTTGCTGCGGTGGTTTTTTTGTGTTTCGGGGGTCGCCTGAACAGGGGCCCTCTTCGTCAGGCTCTTGCTGCTCCCAGGATGTGGGAGTTTCCGAAAATTAGGGGCCCCCTATAATAAGGATCCTACTATTTAGGGCCTTTAGGGTACTATATCAGGGTCCCCTATTTTCGGAAACTCCCATGTATGCTTGTTAGATCTTTTTAGTTTTATCGTATGGGATGGCAAGGCTCGTCAAGGTCCGACTATGTGGGCATCTTTCCGTGTTGAGACACTGCCTGGCCATCTCCCAACTGGCATGAGAGTCTCACAAAAGAAGCCTACGTGGCTCGATCAGGCGGCTACTAAGTCAGGTACTGCTGGTTTTCTGACACCCCCAACACCGTGCTTCTGCAGGAGCACCTCCCAACACCTTGTGAATGCACATAAAGGCAGAGTTTTTTTCATGGTTTCTCTGGGCCTGGGCTAGTGCGCGCTTCGTTTGAAGAAAGCCGTGGATTGCTCAAACTGAAGGAACTGAAGTCACCAAAAATCCCCCCCCCCCCCCCCCGCAAGCAAAGAACCAACAGGAGATCGAAAGGTTCTGGAGCGCCGTGAAGGGCAAGGCGATAGCCGCTCGCCCTGCGTCTTCGATTTCACATTTTACGGGTCTCGAGACTGCTTACTTCGCTTCCTTGGAAGCCGACCAAGTGAGTCGGAAGCAAAGACTCGCAAGCCAACACGGACCACAGCATCTCGCGATGCATCCCTGGATCCTAGACTTAGCACCGCAACTGCTCGAAGGAAGATTTTGCTCTGAATGCTTCTGCTGAACATCTTCTTCTCGGCCCTGAAGCAAGAACACATCAACGCTAAAAGTAGTTTATTCATACCGTGAATCACGATCCGACGCTATCAACTGAGAAACCGTTTCCTTAGAAGCCTGTCTGCGTCTCTGAGAATGGAAAAATGGAGGCAACTACTCCTTCCTGCCTTTTTCAAAGCGCACGTAATTGGAGCCGCAGGAACACCCGGAGACCCTTCCCAGCTTCTAACCCTCCAATTGTTGCCACGATCCCAGGCCCGAGAATGCAGGCAGTTCTACTCCCAATACGAGGCTCTGCATGTTCTGAAGCCACCATCGTCCACAGTTACTTGTTTAACTTGATGTAAGCCTGTGGATTGCAACACTTTGTCGAACCGCTGCTGCCTGCAAGGGGATTAACCTGCGAGGTACTGAGGGTGGCTGAGCTTGGTGGGGCTTAGCTTTGGTGATCCAGGTTTCAGATAACCCTCGAAACTTCTAACCATGCGTGCACACGGCTGTGCAGGGACTGTTCAGAAAGGCTTCAATTCCATCACCTGCGGGAGGAGTGGTTGGAGTTAATGCACGAACCCTCACCTGGCCTTAAGCCCTACAAACAAGACCACGTACTGTAAAATGGTCTGCAAAATAGCAGCTTGAACAACGGTAGTGGAGCCCTGGGGTTCTCAAAGGTATACTATAGTGCTGCAGTAAAGCGTCAAATCTAGCTATTCACGCCCCACGCTGTCACAAATACTCCTGTGCCCTGAAAGGGCCAAAGTTGGAAAAACGTGATTTCCATCGGAGATTCCGACTCTCGGCAATCCGGGAGTGAGGGATTCAAGGAAGTTTGGTTTAGGGGTTCAGGGCCTTAATTCGCGCGTTTAGTACCATGAGGCTTCTCACAGGAAAATATGCGACCAAGCACAAGACCACACTAGATAGTATGGAGATCCATGTATTCAAACCTAGAAGATCAGCGAGTGAAAAATTGGTTTCGGGGTTTAGAGCTTCTAGAATGGTTGGCCCTTGCAATGGGTAGGACTAAGCAGTGCCCTGCCCCCCTTGTCTGTTGGCAGGATGTCGTCAACAATGCCTCTTACCCGTTACCCGATTTGTTTGTTCTGTGTTTGTTGGGCACTTCTACGAAGGACATCATAGTTATTGTACTTCGCGATGTCACATGCATTTGAAAATGTCTCTCAAACTTTCTCCATGGTGACATGCTTGGGCCCAGATTCCCAGTAGCAAAAGCGCTGTAATCGTGGATAGGAACTGCTTCATTAACAGCCTCAGGAAAGTCTACTTTGGGCAGTTGGGCAAGTTGAGCTCTTTTAGGAAATCTCAGAAACATTCTGCGAGAGCCAAACATTTCCACTACCGCGATGTGCTGTCGGCTTACATCTTCAGGTTTAACCGATTCGTTCCCATCAACTAAGCGCACAGTCTGTGGTAGAGGGCATCCACAGGATTTCGAACGCCTGGGCACGCAGAGTGCCATGGAGGACTACATGAAAGAGCGAGGTGTGGCAGACAGGTCTAGGGTCCAACCTCTTCTCTTTCTAAGGGACCAACAGGGAACACACCAGGAACATGATGCTGCTTTCGCACACTGAGCCCATGGACATCTTACGTAGACGTATTGGTGGAGTCAGAGGCTAGTCGTAGTTTGGAAGGAACTTGTCGGAACTGTGCCCCTCCTGACCCAGTACCATCATCCCCAATGCCTGAACCTGAAGCTTTGGACTGGTACCCCAAGCACACAACCGCAAGCCTGAAAACCCTTGTTCGTATTCGCACATACCACAGCAGAAGCAGCAGTAGTAGCAGTAGAAGTAGTAGCAGCAGCAGTAGTAGCAGTAGTAGCAGTAGCAGCAGTAGCAGCAGTAGTGGTAGTAGCAGCGCTTCGATTGATGCTCGAACCTCCAAAAAGCCGCTACCCCAAGTCGATGAGCACGGCTGCGGCGTTCCAGATCCCAAACGGAGAAAACCCAAGTCCCACAGTGTCTGGTTTAATGCTTATATAGGACCTAGGTGTTACAGTTGAAATCTTAGGAACTGTGCTCTTGGGGGTCGAGATTGGGGGGATAGGCCTTCGGGAACAACCTTGAGCACGGAATGGCGCAGCGTGGGTTACGTTGCAACAAGAAGGAAAGCATCTTCGCTACCATATCCATTTGTGTATATAAATATGTGGACATATACACATATATATATATAGATAGATAGATAGTGACCATAGATACATATACATGTACATATAATCGGTATGTTTAGTAGCTTGTAGTACCTCAAGAATAAGTTCCTGAACCGACTACAGCTCCTCCCTCTCGAAACGAGACATCGGAAAGAAAAAGCCCGGAGGCATCGAACAAGATGGCCAGCTCGTGGATGTCGGTGGCCACATGTACAAAGTCCGTACCAAAACGTTTCCTGGAGTGACACGTGCCTTCAGCCTTTAGGGTGTAGTGCTTTGAGGTTTTCGTCTTTAAGCGTGGCCATTTTGGACCGTTACCGTCGTTGACGATACTTGTCGGATGAGCACGCCTTCCACGGCACGTACCCAGGCTTGTTGCGCCTATTCCCCATCTTCCTAATCTTTGCGACTTCCGGCTGACTGCGTCGTCGGTTTTCTGGGGATTCCAGAGGACCATTGTCCCAAGGGATTAAACCAGTGCTAGCCCCAAATCCTCTTGGGATTTAAAACGTCGAGGCCTTGGCGCAGTTTTGCGGGGAGCGGGGTCTTGGATCTAAGCGTCAACAAAGCAAGCCTTCAAAGCCGTTAAACTTGATCCAGGGCTAGAGCTGAAGGTTCAAGATGGTCGACGAGCCCACGATCGAGGAGTTGACAGTGGAGGCGGAAGCATCTCTCATGGTTCTGGAACTTACCTTTGGTTAGTAGGGAATGGAAGAATGGTAGTAATAGTAGTTATAATTGTACCCCATTCCTCCATTCCCTACTAACCAAAGGTAAGGGAAGGGAGAACTGAAGCTCCGGGCCTTAGCCTGGCATCTTGTCAGGAGGCCTATACAAAGTCTTCCTAGCACTGACCATGGGATATGAAACTGAGGTCTCTGAAAACTTTCTAGCGTGTCCGCTTGAGTTGGGACCGCGAACAGCTTGCAGCCGCTCAGATTCCAGGTGACGTCTTCTTTCGGGGAGCTCAAAGGGAGGTTTCAGTTTTCGAGCGCGAGTCCTATACCCTGTTGTGGAAACGCTAGAGTCCAGCCCAAACCCTGAACTACTGAACTATAGAGAATCGCACATGCATCCCTGCCTGGAGCCTCAAATCCGAAGCCGTCTCCGTCACTAAGCTTTGAGGTGGAGATGCTGAAGGCATGGCTCCCCCTCATGGTGAAGCTGGAGACTGGGGCAGGGAAGACGGATTACAGCTGAGAGCTTTGAGGTTGGACATATTGGGAGGTGGGGGTTTGGGTAAGGGTTGATATGGTCGGGAACCGGTGCATGCTGCCATATCCTGCTCCGAGCACCATGCACCTGCACAGGGCTGCGTTTTGCGTGAGGCTCCCTGGTCGCTAGAGCATGGAGCTAGCCCTGCTTGCCAAACTAAGCCAGATTCTGATAGGAGCCTCGGAAGCGCTTTGGTTTGCAAGACTCCATGGATTACGGAAACCTGTGCCAAGGATTGGAGATTGGATCAAGTTTGAAGTGCAAAGTTGCCTGTCTAGATTTCCTTCTTCCTTCATCCTTCCAGAAACGGCCATGCAAAGGACAGCAGCTTTGACGTCAACCTCAACAACGCAGACGATCCTGAAGTGCTTCAGTCCATAGAGAAGACGCTGCGTGGTGAGGCTGCCCACTGATGCAGGTCAGAAAGGCTGTTGTCATTTAAGAGACCAACGAAGAGACTCTCACGCGACTGTATATGGCTATATGCCGGGCTGAAAGCGATTCCATGATGGGCCGAGTTGCAGGGTCCAACACCCCCTAGCCCGGACAGAGAAGGCTGCTGCGTTAGCAAGAATCATCTCATTCCGACTGTGGCACACCTCATGCAGGTTCTGTAGCGCTTGAAATAGGAGTTGCCAGCAAAGCCGCATCCGAAGCTCTGCGTTGCGCACTGTGCTTTAAATCCAGCGCCGGGGAGCTCGAGAGCCTTTGTTGGAACATGGCCACACACCCTGCGAAAAAACACAGTGCCCAAAATCAAGTAATGCAAAATTCGTGAGAGATGCTACGGTATACTGTATACACAGATGAGATGCATTTATAAATAAAAAAGATGTATGTATACATACGGTTTACTGTTTTGGGCTCTCCGGGGAACTTGCACCCTCGATCCGAAGCCGGACAAGGAAGAGTTTGAAAGAACTCCCAGCCTGCGGCCCAGTCCGCCCGCATGAAATCACAGGAACCCTTGGGGGGTTAAGGGGGGTAGAGGACTATGCTTACTTAAATAGGCCTGAGTAAATCCTATTTATGGGCGTTACGGCCCCCTTCCCCGCCCCCCCCCCCGCTCCCTCTACCCCTCTAAGGGTCCCTTTGATGAAATGGCCCCAAAGCAGCCGTGAAACTCTGCTGCGGCTGCAGCTTTTGGGGCCCAGCGGTATGCAGATGGGAGTCTTGCGAAGCCCCGAAGTGCTAAGCTATAGAACTGCTACAGGTATTGTACTAAACTTAGGTGCCTAATTCTATTCAGGTAGATTGTTTGTGATAAACTCCTCTTCAACCCTTGACTTCACTGCCATAACCACAGCTAGGTCTGGTGTGAAGGGGTTTTGCACAGCCCATATTGGAATTCCTCATACTCGATCCTCCTATGCAGGGTTTAGGTCGGGGTCCGCCGATTGTGTTAGCAGAACCTCTCGCAGGGTGGTTGCGGTAGCGAGGAGGGCTAAAGCCTCAGAAGTAGACCCTAAGCTCAAGCCTTTCAACCCGGCTTTTGCGACTCTTCGTAATCTTTTCTGCGAAGGGTGCCACAAGTGCAACTGGGTCTGCAGTTGCCATGGGCTTAGCCGATCGCCCCTATTTTGGACTTTGTGCATTGGGTTTCCATGCTTATATAACTGGTGGGCTTTCGGAGCCTTCGAAGCAGCGGTCCCTGAACCTGAACTACAGGCATTATGAGGAGAGACACCGTGCGTTCTTCCTCTTGAGTCTGGCAGCGCCTCTGCGAGAAAAAGCAGCTGCCTTTCTTTTTCACACCCAGGAACCCCTTTTGAGCGAAACCTGCGATGCCCAAGCAGCCCGACAACCCCTCTAAGCAGCCTTACTAACCCCGAAAGCCTGAAACCCAAAAAGGCGTCTAAGCCTTAAACCAACCGCATAAACCACCCTCGGCCCCAACGCTAGCAGGTCGAAAACTTGTGTCCACAAGCCCGGTGATTCTGAAGCTTAGGACCCAAACAGGCCGAGCGCTGGTACATGCTCCCCCCCAAACCTGTGCCTCCCAAGCACCTAACATCTTAAGTTGTTCTGACCCGCCTTTTTAGGAGTGCAAGAGACAACCGCATCAGTTTTGCAAAGCCCCGAACGCTTCAAATCCCCGCAAAGCAGCGTGGCAGCCTTGCCGCCGATGTAGGCTCCAAAAAGCCCATGTTCCATGTGTAAGATCCTGACAAGCCATCCTGGACAGCTCTGTGCAATTGACCAAAGCCTCATCCCGCACTGCTGCAGCGCCCTCATTGCACGATTTGGAACCGCTTCCCTTCTGTCCTTGAAGAGGTGCGTATTCCCACAAGACTTAGAGAAGCTTGAATGCAAAAGCACAGAAAGGACATGCACAAACAGCCCTTCGAACCCCCTGAAATCTTCAGAAAATACTGCAGCTTGGTCGACATTTCTCCAAATAGGCTGGTGTTTGGCCTTCTGAATCTTTGATGCAAATACAGGTGCCTTGCTTCGGGAGTCGAGAGCTTCGAGAGGCGGCAGTGCGCTGAGCCGTGCGTGATGACTGTCGCTGTTCAGGGTTTGGGTGTAGGCTTTATTTATCGCTGAGCTTAGCTTTTTTCTTCTCTGCAGAGATGAAAGGCTAAAGCAAAGGCCGCCAATTGTTGAACATGCCATGTTTGTGAAGGGTCCATGGGGTGGCTTTGGATGTTTACGATAGCCTGCATACAACTGCGCAGTGGTTTGTTGCTATTGCTATCTTCAGTGCAGTCGTTAAAGTAACTGTCAGTGTTTGAGCCGTTTCAGTTTCAGAGCTCCGGCATTGAACATGAAAGTTTGGTGTCATCAGTTGACGGACTTGTAGTGGCTGTTGCCAGATCGTGCTCAAGTTGCCTCTGGTTCTTGACGATGATGACACTGATGATGATGATGATGATGAAAACATCCCTCTCCGCATCACCTTTATCTCCATCATGGCGACGGCTGCGGTTGCAACCGATTGTACCGTTGATCATCACACACATCACCACGACTCTTTTGATCACTTCTTTTGCCATTGCTTTGCTTGGAGCCTTCTTGTTGCTGCGCGATTCAGGCTTTAAAGGCTTCGATTTCAGGTCGCGACAGGACCATCAGCAGTTTGCATCCTTGTACGCACGACTGGCGGTTTAGGGATGCAGGGCCATACATACGTACATACATAAATATATATATATATATATATATATATATATATAATTTGTATTCAGTCATTTATATACACACACATCTTAATGCTGAGGACAGCAATCGCTTTCCATCCGTTGATTTGCGTCTTGGTGGGGACGAAACGTCTAAGCATTCGTCTAGACAGTTTAGAACTGAGATCGGTCTGGAAGTCTCCTGTCCCAGACTCGGATTTGCCGCCGGTTTCTCAAGCTGGGGCCAAAGGTGATCCGCACCTAAATCAGACTCTCGCTGCCGCCATGACACGCGGCCGTGCCCGCCTGCGGACGCCCACCACATGCCATCTCGACTGCAGTGGGAGGGGTACCACGATCTGCATCGGAAGCTGGGTGATCGACACCTCAATACTGCCAGGTAAGAAGTTACCCCCAAGACAATCTTCTGGATCCCATGAAAGGGGAGTAGGCCTGCCATTGGGTACTTTTGCCGTTTGGATAGCGTGGCTAGTCCAGCCCACAGCCTTTCTGCGAGTGCCGTGTAAGGATGAAGAGTGATAAGGCTCTCACCCTGAAATCTCAACTCTCATTGCTATCTGCTTACTCCTGACTCCTGAGCCTTATAGAGCCCACGTTCCTGTATATATGCCGTTTCTTCCCCAGTGCTGCTGCATTCAAAAAGATTAAAAAGGACCGGGCCCAGGTCTCCTGGCCCTGCTCGCCACGTGGGGCAGCTGGCGAGCAGCTTCCTCGTTGCAGTTCGTGCCGAGCCTTGGGCCACTAAGGGGAGAACTCGATTTTGGGGGTTCTACTGTGGGACTAGCTAGGGTTTCGGGGATTGGGGTTCTTCAGCCCTCCACTCAGGAATAGACTTTGTATCAGAGTTTCGGCCCGACAGATGTGGGGTGCTTAGCCCCAAATCCGCCCCCGATCGATTTCCTTGAGGGTAAGATCTCAAGGAAATGATCAAAAGTTGTTTTTGGACATGCCGAAGAAGATACTTGAATCCAGAAGGGCTTGGGGCTCACAGATACCTGAACGCTACACCACGAGACTGTGAAAGACCTACGGAGGATTTCCAGCAGAGCCCCGGCACATGGGCCTGAGCCAGCTTCTGCAGAGCGCTGCTCGGATCATGGAGAGTTGTGGATTGGGGTCTCGGGCACTTGGAGGTTCCTTGGTCGTTATAAGTAGAGTTATAAGTCCCCATATACATTTAGAAAGAAAGAAATACATATATATATATATATATATAGGTTCCATAGAAAAGTTACCCTACTTGTAACCCCACCTGCAACTACGCATGAACCTCCAAGCGGCATTGTAGTTTCGATCCCGGGGGGGTTCTAGCAGCCTAGGAGCCCGTCTTCACGGGGAAGCCAATGATCCCATCGACTTAGAGGTATCCAAGGTATGCTTCGGGTGCCCCCGATTTACGAAATCATGTAACAGTGCCGGCCTAGCACAGCTGGGTCTTCGAACCGACGGGATATACGCAAGGCCAGCGTTGTTTTGCTGCGGCCAGCAGCTGCTTCAAGGATCAGGGGCTGTAGCAAGTTAACTTATGAGCCTTCTCATAACCTGGATAAGACCCCCCCCTTCCGGCAGGATCATGTAAGTAGCCTTCCGTATTGAAGAAGCTGAGGTACCTGGCAGGTTGGTGCCAGTCTGAATTCGCTTCCCTTCTAGGATCTTTGTGGTAGAAGTGAAGGGTGAAAGAGCCGACATGAGCCGACCAAAGTATGTCGACTTCGAATTCAAATCGGAGCTGTTCTCCCCATCTATCCCTCCCCCTTTCTTCCATCTCGAGGTTCCGGGAGCTGGACCCAAGCAGCCGTAGCCGGCTTGCTCATCACGCCCACCGCAGCTTTCGCCGAGGTGCTGATTTCATTCGATCATTCTATTCAAGATTCCATTATGTTCATTCTGAATTCTATAATTCTATTCTGCTCCCAAAGTTTCAGGATTCACCTCTTTCGGCTCTGAGGAGTTGGCGCTGCACGCCTTTCGTCATTGAGACCTTTCAGCCTTTCGGGGCTTGGGATTCTGCCCTTCCCTCAGGACACGTAGGGCAGGGCATAGCGCCCAAGAGCCTCGGGCCCAAAGCGATGGCTAACTTTCGGACCGGATCTGTTCTGGTTTCAGAACTGTAGGGGCCCATGGCGGTAATACAGGGCGTTAATAGTTAGAATAGGGTCTTGGGGCCCATTATACTGTAATGCTTTCACGATGACAAGGAACCCCCAAAATAGTATTGGTAATTATTGAGGCCCCCATATTGAGGTTCAAGACTGGAGGGTCCAGGCTTGAGAATCCAGGGATTTGGCTTGGCTGGGTTTCCGCGGCCCAAAGCTCAAACCTGCGGCACCATGCTGCAAAAGCCTCCGTGAGAAGGGTGAAGAGGTCTTTGAAGGGTTTCGGAGTTTAGGTTTTAAATCTAAGTTCGAAGCGACTTCAAGACTGAATCGAAAAGCTTCAGCCCCGAAGCCTGAACCTGGGGTTTCCGGCTGGGGCCAGGACGGTGGTGATTGGTTCGACCCTTTCGTCACTTTGAACGCCAACATCATCGAGGCCTGCGATTCTGAGACTTGCCAGTGGCGCAGGAAGAGAGGGCGTCTTCCGACGATGATGATGATGATGATTCAATGATGATGATGACAGCGAGCAGCAGGGCAGAAGTTCGAACTTCGTGTTACGTCAGCTTAGTCTACTGTAGTGCAATGGTCTGGTCTTGGTCTTGTTGAATCTTGGCATAGCCTTTGCGGCTGCTCAGGCTTTCAATCGCAGTGTTTCAAGCATCATACTTCGTAACTCGCAAGGCAATCGACAGCGTGATTGGGTCTGCCGGCGCAGCAATCATCCTGTACACGATCCTTGTCAAGGCGTGTCCGAGATTCCGTGCTCTCAGAATTGAGGGTTTAATGGCAATAGCAATCAGCAGAGTAAAAGCAGCAGCTACGGCAAAAAGAACAGCGTGGGCGGACCTTGTGGATTGCATCAGCGTGCAAACTGAGCCACAAAGAACATGCAGCCTCCCTTGTTCTGGTATTTTCTGGGCGAGGCAGCTAACAGTCTTTCCATCGGAAGCAACGTCTTGGAGCATAGACTGGAAACGCACGCTGGACCTTAAAACCCAGCGCGCATGATTTTCGTTTCACGCTCATATGCCACATGTACACATGCCTTGTAGTTGTGTGCTGGTGGCAACTGAGAGCCATCGTTCAACGAGGTGGTCACCTACCCGCTGCAGCAGCCGGCCTTGCGCGCCTCCGCGCTCTTGCAGCTCCTTGGAAGAACAGCCTTGGCATTTTGCAAAAGAGCAGAACCCGCAAACTCGATCAAGCCTTCAATTTGCTGCAGCATGGACAACGCTTCCAACCGTAAGAGTGCCAAGGCCATTGCGTAATCAGTGCGATAATTTGATGTCTTAATCTGTCACCCAATCAGAGGACCCGCTTTGGCATTCAACGGGTTTCGTGTGTGTTGGTGGAACTCGTTCTTTCCCTAGTTCAGCAGGTCTCGAATTACACAGCACTGGCAAATACGCGAGGCTTCGCACGTGAAGTGGAAATAGCCTTCGTCTGACAACTACCGATCAGATAGTAGCACTTAACAGCTCGATGGCATCATCCAGCCTGCCGGCGCATGGACACGGCTGTAGATACCTGAAATAACTTTGGGAGTAGTGGGCCGGAGCAGAACTGGTCTTTCGGCAAGGGCTGTCCCGGATTCTCAACCCATGATACTCGAAAGCCGAAACGATTCTCCAGGGTTGCAGTTTAAAGCTGGTCTGTTTTGCGTGGCCGGGTGCATGTGCGCACAAAAATGCACAAAACCATGCACCACCTGCAAGCGTGTTCGAGCCCTCGAAAGTGCACTTCTCAGAAAGCCCAAAACCCGCTGTTTATGCAAAAGAGTACACCTCAAACGAATCATAAGAGGGATGCTTCGATCGAGGGAAAGGGTGCTTGCCCAACGGTAGGAAGAGCCCATCTCTCAAGCCTAACGAGCTCGCCGCCTCTCAGCAGAGTATGTCTGAAGACACTGTTAGGATGCTGTCTCCACAGCTGGATGAGATCAATCGGCAATACAAGGATGATGAGGACGCCGTCCTTGCCTTGTGTACTGTTTGAGCACAGGCCTAAGCAAGCATCTTGCTCCCCCAACAGAGATTCTCGGAAGTCTTTTTCTTCGTGATCAATTCATAGCGGTCCCAGCAAGGCCACGCAACAGCTCCTTTCAGCTTCCAGCGGTTCCCAGCACAGAATCAGATGGAAACTGCCGCATGCAAACCTCTTAGCCTTCAACCCAAGCCCAAACCTCCACACACCTTACCTTCCAAAGCTTGGACCCTGAACCTCGAAGGACAAGAAGGGACAGACCCTGCGGGATCTCTATGGCAAGGTGGGCTCTTTTGGGCCACTTCGCCGTCTTGCCTAAGAAGCATGCACCAAACCTTTGAAGACTTGGGAAAAATTTCGTTGAGGAACCTTCTGTCTTAGGGGTCCTTACGCCGATCAAGCAGTGCTACGGAATCCCAGAACCTCAGTCTGCCAAACCTCAGGGCCCAAAAATGGCCCCGAGGCCTTCTGCAATCTTCGCTGGGTGACCAAAACCCCCGAAACCTGAGCTTCCCGAGATCCATAAGACGTTTGTATAAGGCACCTGAAACCTTCCCAAGTCTTTGTAAAGCTTGGTCTACCAAACCCTAGGCACTTTTAGCCGCTCAGGGAGTGTCGGACTTGAGGATCATGTTATTTTTTTGTCTCAAGCGTAAGTCGGTGTGTGTGTGTGTGTGCTTTGTAATTTGCTGAAGCATGTCTAGATTCACAGTCTAAAAAGGACCCCCCACTTTTCAGCCTGAGTGAATGTCAAAACCGCCAGGTGGGACTGAACCCATTCCTCTCGCTGGTGCCGGTTCTGTGCCTTGCGACGAAGTGAGGGCTCTTGGGGTTGGGTAGCGGGTCTCTTTGGCAAGCCAAGATAAGCCAAGATAAGCCAAGCAAGCGCAGAACTTCTGCGTCCTTTGCCGAGAATTTCTATTGCGTCACAGGGATCCTAACGCTTAGCCGCTGGGCCTTGTGCCCGAAGCACAGTCATGTCACGTGTAGTTCAGGCTCAACAGGGCCCCCGCAGGGTGTGTGAACTGCACCTAAGCCAGAGCCACGCACACCAAACTTGGCCTTATCCCCAGACCGTGTGAAGATAAGGTGAAGCATCACACCAGAGCAGTCTTCAACCCCGTCAAACTACAGTATTGCCTTCAACTTAGCCTGGAAGAGCCTCCCCCGTAAATTTCTTTGCGCAACCCTCCATAAGAAGTAACGTCGATAGGTTTCAGATTCCGCTCTTCGTGGCGCTCTTCCGGGCTATCGGAAGACTGGCCTCACAGGACGACCACTTCAAGGCAAGCGGGTCTTTGCGTTTGGCCTGTCTCTTTGCTTGGTGGAGGTTTAGGATCAAGTACTTGACTCGATATACGAATATTCGGTTTGCTTGAAGCTCTTTGCCGAGCTACTTGGACTTAGGCTTCGGGTTTTCTGATTTGGAAGAATAGCTTTTACTGCGATGAATACCTCAAGTGAGTACTGCCCCAAATCGCAAGTAGAACCGTGGCAACCGTTATGAATATAAGTTGAGGTACATTGCTTACTTCAGGGGCTTGTGCGTCTGCAGTATATAGTTATGTTTTCAGCTTAAGAGGATATAGGACACTTTGTTTTGTTCGACTTGATCGATGAACTGCTTCAGTCTTTCCGAGCCAGCTTGGGATCTGGAGGTTTTTTGAAGTACTTGCAGTTTCGTGGCAAGTGCGATCACAAGAAATGTATCCCTACTTGCTTTATGAGCCAGTACTGCGCGCAACAAACACCTACGACCACCCGACCCGACCTGTCAGTGCGATAGTGATAGCGTTTCGAGCCTTCGCCGCCAATCAGGACAGCCTGAAGCAAACTGTAACGGGAGCCCGGTCAAGGTCCAACTGTACAGCACAAGAGCGAAGCTGCAAATCTACACTGTCGACCTGAAGCTGAAGCCACAAGGGCCCAGGCCTTCTTCTATAGAAAACGCTTTGCCCAAAATGCCCAAACCTCGCCCCCCAGCCGGCAAAAGGAGCCGTTTCTTTGGATTCCAAGCCTCGCCGGCCCGGTTAGCCAAGGGAAGCCCAGCAGCTCGGATTGCATACGTTTAGTACGCGTAGGACCAGGGTGACTAGGGTTCCGGGAAGGATGTGGGCGGTTCTTTTAGTATCGCAAGGTGCCGTACTATTGTGGGGACCTACCACGGGACCCTCATATCAGGAACTTTGTGATGTCGCGTTCAAGGTTAGGTGGTGGGGTCGTAGGGTGCAGGGCCTCGGGTTCTTTTTTGGATTGAGGGGTTGACGGTTTTCAGGGCGAGACTTCATTCTCCTCAGTGACTACCCGGGCGGATCCAAAGTTCAAGAGGGCTCACTATAGGGTCTACAAAGGTACTATAGTATAGGGGCCTTAATAATTAGAATAGGGTTTTGGGGCTTTAGGGTCAAGGGATGGGGGTCTTGGGGATTTGGGTGAAGCAAGTTTCTTTCGAGCGCCCTCTTGTCACGCCCAAAGCTCCCCAAGGCTCGTCTAGAATCTAGAACCCTGACAAGCGCCCTCTTTACGGGCCCCCCTTAAAACCCCTTGAAACACCATTTAAAGAAAGCTTTCAAAACCCAAGCTGGGAAGCCCACACCCGGCAGCGTGCGCTGAAGGCCTGGATTGGCTTTTGAAGACCCGATCCAGCGAGGCGTTTGAGCCCCTGGTGGGTTGGCAGGACGTGCCGAAGTGCTTTTTTCTGTCGGCATCTTTTTATAGGGGTTCGTGACTTAACCAGGTTCTTCCTGGGTGTTGTTTGGATAAGGCTATTTGTATTTGGATGCAGCGGTTCAGTGATTGCCAGACATCACCAAAACTGAGGTGCTACCGCAGCTCGGAGCACCCTTCCCAAAATTACTATGCACATTGCCAACAGCTGCAAGGCATGCACAAAGCACGATTTCTCGCTGTCGAACTCCTTCGCAGGATGCCACGATGTACTGCGTGCTGCCCCTGCTACTCGGCCTGCCTTCTTCCCGACGTCTGTGCCTGTAGGCACCAGTAGCTGATTTCGGCATGTTCACCTCAAACCCGTTTTTCTGCAGACCTTACCTGGCATAGTGAGAGCGTGAGCGTCAAAGAATACCAGACAATCCCAAACAAAAAAGCCCCTCTCCGCAAGCTCCGGCGCTGCACCGAGGCTGGTTTTCCTTGCCCAGTTCCTGTCCTCCAGGCAAGGCTGCAGCGCTTTTTTGGTGAGGGCTCTTAGTGTCTCGCAATTCGGCTCTATCTTTTGAGACAGTCGGAGCACGACCTATGAGAGTCTCCCAGGCCCCCCCACGGCCAAGGGCTGCTCTCTTCGCCGGCATTCAAGGGTGCTCTCAAGGCCCGAGGCTACAGCTCTCGAGGCCGCCACGAAACCGCAGCAAGCCACGAGCTCCAAACTACTTGCGGGCCCTTTACGAAATGGAGTCAGTTCAAGTCCAAGACCCGAAGCGACAAAAAAGTAAGGACATGTGCCCGCATTTGTATAAGTGGAGCCATCCTGACAACCTTAAGCCGACAACTCTGACGCTGATCTTGATTCTTTGTAGTGCTGGTGTGTTGCTGTACTTTTGGCTCGGAATGATGCTGAAGGTGCTTTCGAATGTGAGCTTGAGATTCTGGCTTTGCTTTCGCCGTCAGCTTCCCAATTGCGTCTGACATCCCAACCTGTGAAGTTGGCCTGCGGGCAGGCCATACAGGAGCCCAAAAAGCCCCAGGCCCCAAACCCGCAACCTTGTTTCGACCTGAAAGAGGCTGTCCGCGTCCTCCTCGGAGAACTCCACGAATGGCGTCCTCTTCCCGTAGCTTGTGCCGGCAACAGGTTTGAAGTTCACTCGTGTCATAGTCGTACGGAATAGCAATTGGAGACATGAAGATGAACACAAAGGACGGCTGGATGAACACTACTGTCTCCGCTTTCATATATGACGCCGTATGGAATTTGGGGCTGCAGGTTCGCGGGGAGCTCACACTATCCTCGCAGGTCGAGGCTTGAACCCTACAGGGCCAAAACCCCGCTTTTCCCCTGAAGTTCAGAGCCTGAACTTTTCGTTCCTGCTCGAGTGGAAGGCCCAAAAAGTCACGTAAACCTTCGAGACGAAGACTTCGAAAGCGGCCCGCCGCTCGTGTAGAATGCGGGAACTGGAAGCCACAACCTTCAAGCCTAGCGGTCTTTGAATGGCGGAATGTAACCTTTCCCCCCTGATTCTTGGATCTCTTCACCTAAAGCCTGAAGCCTTGCACCCTCAGCTTCAAAACTGTAACAGCATACGCCGGGCCCGAAAAAGGGATCCTAAAACAATCGATGAGTCCTATGAGGCTTTTTATCGGTATTTCGACGCTGGTCTCCCCCTCTGGAGTCGGTGCCTGCGCCTGGTGATGGGATCGGATTTCGGATTTTGGGGGTTTCTGAAAATTAGGGATGCCTTTTTAGGGTCCTTATAATAAGGATCCTACTATCTAAGGCACTCCCCTATTTTCTGAAACCCCCATTCGGGGATTTTGGGGCTTAAGCTTCAGTGAAGCTCCACTAAGTGTTCATATTATTATAGTCAGGGAATAATGTTTCTCAGGGCTCCTTCATACAAGCTAGCATGGAAAGCCTGAACATCCCAAGTCTAATTTTCAGTCGTCCATACAATCCTGCTGGGATGGGAGTTTTTCTGAAACCCCTGTAGGACGGATTGTGCTCTTGATTTACGGGGAGGGCTCCATTCTGCCAGTCCCGATTTTCTGATGCTCGCATGGAACATCCCCGAGCACAAACAAAGCCGAATACCGAGTCGTTGTACTTCCTAGTAGAACGTAGTGGTGGTTGTCTTTGGTGGTGCTGGTGCTGGTGCTGATGCTGGTGGTTTTGATGGTTTGATGGTGTTGGTTGGGGGCTGTTGTTGCTGCTGTCGTTGTTGTCGCTGCTGTTGTTCTAGCAGCAGCATGTGTAGAAGAGGAGAAGCAGCAGCTGGAGCAGTCGTTGGGGGTGCAAGCAGCAAAGCATTCATGTTTTGGTCGCAGTTACCACCGCAAGCGCCACGGGCTTCCTTTCCAAGCCGAGCTCTAGCGGCATTACTCCAAAGCAATCCAGCCCCGGACCTTTAGCCGAACTTTCGTTTTCAGGCACTTAGCTCCGATTACAGGTTGAGGCTTTGGGGTCCTTTTGCCGATGGCAGCACACTAACACAGTGAGGCCGGCCACAAAGCACCGCTGTTATCCTATTCATAGCAGAATAAGAGCACTGAGGGAGCTAAAGCCACCCAACTGCAAGTGGTCAGGCTGGGCTCAGGGTTTGGTCTGCAGAAGCTGGCATCCGCGTGGATTTTCTGAAACCTTTGCAGGCTAGGTCGCATGGTTGAGACGGTGCTCCGCCGGGACTTGGATTTGAGGATTTTGTGTTTGATCCATATACGAAGCTTGCAACTTCTCTTGTGCCCGGATATTGAAGGAGACAGCAGGTCCGTAGGTACAGCAAGACTGACAGCCGCGAGCAATTTCCAAGCCCAATCCCAGGTGTGTATTGGTTCACCAACACGGTGCTGACCACCGCACAGATGAAGGTGACCCAAGACGAAGTCGCGGAGGCTGCCAAGCTAGATAATGTTATGGTATTCTCGGATATGTTATGTTGCATCGTAGAAAGGTTCGCTTAGCTGCTTATAGTATGTACTATACATTACAACCCTGCATTGTGTCATGTGAACAGTACGACATACTTCATGGGATTGTAGTACACTATATATCATCTGATATGGTGTCATACTCGATGCTTATATAGACACTTAAGATGGCCTCGCGGCAAGGAGTTCCCGGAGTACAAGAAAATCAAAGACGAAGTTGATGCCAAGGAGGCCGATGGAACCAGACATGTTAAGATTTTTCGGGCCGTGCAATGACGTGTTAGAACGAGGTCGCTTATGTAGAGAGTGTATCAGGGCCTGGCTCGGTTGGAGTCCAAAGAGTTCCTGGGGATAGGACTGAAAACATGTACACTTGTAGCAACCTTGACTGTGATCTGCCAAGAATGCCAGTCACAGTTTCAGCAAGGGGTCACGACGAGAGCCGACGAAGCCTTAAAGAAAGATTGTGGCGCTAAGCATGCCCGCCGAGTATCTCATGGAGGTGATCGTTAGTGCGCAGCGTAGGCATGACGAAGTATAACAAAGTGACCACAACCACAGATTCTCGCAGCCGAAGCATGCACCCTTGAGCCACTCCTCTCCTTGGCAGAACGGCGCGCGGTACACGCGAGCTTCGCCTTTCAAGGAGGCCGGGGTTGAAAGTCCTGGAGATACTTTGCCCTTTGCCCTAAATACTTGAAACTTGAGAGTATTGGGTTTACTGTACATGCCATATGCTCTGCTATGGACATCTCTACTTGTCTGAAACCCCCGGACGAGCAGCAAAGAAGCTTGGCTGCAGGAGGATGCTGTCAAGAAGAGCGTGGACGCGCTGAAGGAAAGTGCGAGTTGGGTTTTGGCCGGGATCTGGGTGAATGTTAAAGAAGGCTTGGGGAAAGCTGACGAGTGTAGACTTGAGGTGTTATGATGCCGCTGCGACATTGTATCCATGGCGCAATGGTGTGTGTTTGGGGCAAACTGCTCCACCAAGGGGCAGAGCCTTTGGATCACTGTTATTCAAACATGTCATCAGTTTTGTCTTTGCAGTACAGTGACCATCTTCATAACCTGCAGCCCGCGAGCCCTAAACCCCGAATCCGAAAGCCCAAGGCTTTGAAAAACCCTAAGTACTCCGAACTCCTTGAAGCCTCCTACAACCCACTTTTGACCAAGCCCTTCAATTCACATGACAAAGCCTCGTAAACCGGGTTCCAAGCGGCACACATTCCCTTGCAAAAACAGTATTCCCCCGCCCGATCCTCAGGGATGACTGGAGCCCAGAGAATCAACGACCCTACCAGGTCATAGCCAGCAAGAAAGAACCGTATGTAGTACTATTGTAAGACAAGACGTGGTTATCACGTTCCATAGGTTCGGAGATCTACAATTCTGCGCATCAATACTCGAGAAGAACGTGGATCCCTCGAAGATGCATGCTGCCACGGCGTGCGAGTCTCTGGAAAAAGCCATTCGAAACAAAATTGCGAAAGCACACTAAGCCCTGCCGCATGCAACCCTTGGACAGGGACCCAGTCAGGTGTAAGCGGCGTAGTCAAAAACAGAAAAACACACCCCCGTTGAAGCAGCTAAGCGTCACAGGAGCCTGAAGCTCCTCCGAAGAAAGCCTCGCGGAAAGAGCGCCGGAGGGGGAGGGGCCGTAGCAAATCCCGGTGAAAGGCCTAGGTCTTTTGGGCATCTAGAGCTCTCGGACTCCTAGAGTTTATGGCTTACGGGTTTTAGGAATTAGGGTATATAGATGAGGAGTTTTTCGGTTGGCGGTCAACATCAGCAGTGTTTGGGTTTGGGGGTGTATTGGGATTTTTAGAGGGCTTTTACTGTTTTAGGGCCTGCAATCTAAAGGGCTTTGGGTTTCAGGGCTCAGGGTTGTTAGGAATTGTGTGCTTGAGGCTTTGCTGATCTCAGGGCTTTCGGGTTTAGGGGCTGAGAAGAAGGTGTTTTGGGATGGGAAGAGGTCTACTAGGGGTTTCCGATAGGAAATCTCGGCCGGATGGGGTGTACGCTTGTAAAAGCCCTTTTGCTCATCAGTGCGGCATGATCTAGACAGAGTATCCATCCTTGAAGGACTCCATAAGCCCCAAGGCCTATGCTCTAAGCCCAAAATCCCAAAGCAGAATACAGACGGGACAAGCTCAAAGGATGCCACACCGGGCACCATTGCACGTGCGCGCTCAAGGTGCCCAAGTGCCCTTGACAGAGGAGTGCCTTAAGTGCAGACAAATTAGCGGATACTCAGAGACTCCACGTCTTGGGCTCCCTGGGTGCGCAGGATATATCGATTTTCGCTGAGCTCGGTCTCAGATTCTTCAGAGCCCAGCTCCCAATCTGGGATCCCGGGATTTCATGCTAAGGTTTGATCAACGCGTTGAAGTCCCGGCAGAAATGTATTGGAAAATTCACGGGCACCCTAAGCCATGGATTTCTAGAATCATCCTAGATATTGTAGTAAGCTACATGTTCAGACACTTCTCTAGCTCGGTAGTCATTGCCGATCTCTTAACCAGGAACCCTTTCACCATGCAGCTATTTTGCTTCACTCCTGAGTCATGCTGGCAGGCTTTAGCATTCGAGATTCAAGGTCTAAGCAAACACCTTCAATTGTGGATGTGGGACGGTCTGCATGCCGCGGCAGTGATTGTGTATCTGATATCTTCCAAGAACCTTTCTCTGCAATGCAACAACTGCCATGAAACTCACAAGTGGCCTTGGAGATGTTGACTGTGACGCGGCATTACAGCTTTCAAGCCGGCCGGAGTTCATGAATCTTTAGCTGCTGTCTCGTTGCCAGGCGAGAGGAAAAAGAAGCACTTTGCTAGGTGAGTTCGTCTTCCACTGCAACCCTAAAGCCCAAGCCTGAAAACCTTGGACCCAAAACTGCTAAACCTTGAGCTTGGCCCAAACCCTAAACCCGGCAGTGCCCAGGCATCCTTTTGGCGAGCAGATACGGGCGCAGAGGCGGGTTTGGGCCATGAAAATTGGCCAGCTCTCAGGGTTCAACCTTAGGGGTTGAATCATTAGCAATACATACATACTTTCAAAACCCTAGTCTAAGAACTCTAGCATTTGCACAAAGGTTATGCAGCAGAAGGCGGCTATGCAGCCTTCAATGCTTGCTTGGGGTACCCAGAACCTCAAAAAATCACAAAGGTAGACCTTTTGCTCCTCTAAGAACATGGACAAGCAGACCAAGCCCACATCGGGCAAGTACTTTACCAGTTTCATTCCATCGCTCAGGTTCTGACGCTTGGGGATCCGCAGGCGACGTGGTGGGTGTGGGGTTTTCGTGCTAGCTTGGAAAGACCTAGTGATGACAGCTTTTGATCTACATCAGACAAGACTACTAAACTCGCTTTCAGCGGCGGTTGCTGTGTTTGTGGACCGAGGAAACTGCGATTTCTTTGCGGGGTCGACCCCAAAGTTCAAATCCAAAAGCTATCCTAGGCCCTTTATCTAAACTAAAGGCGTTTTGATTAAGGAGCTATTTCTCCGGAACTTGTGCTGCCAAGCTTGCAATCTGAGCCATGCCAGGCCTGTCGCTTTTCGGCAGCATGAACCCTACCCCTGTGTTTTCGCAGTCGTACTTTCGACTCTGGCTCAGTGGAGTCGTTGTTTCCACCCTCTTTTGAATCTGGTATCTTCATCACTTCCTGTCGGCTGTTGCGTTAACACGCAACCCCGCAAAAGAGCTCTAACCCAGAAGCCCCTACGCCCTAAGCCCCAAACCCTTTACTCTTAGTATAAGGGGGTCCCTCACATGGGTGGTTGTCAAATTATGGTCCCTTTTTGGGTCCCTCATATAGTACGGCACCTAATATTCAGGGTACCCAAAAAAGGGACCCTAATTTCGGCCAAAACCCCCACATCTCTTTTTCCCCCTTTTTGGACACGAGCCAGGAGCCGGCTTTGGATCCACTGGATGCGACAGGCGTGGCGACAAAGGGAAGCCAGGTTTGGGGGTTTAGGGGTTTAGGGTTTGGGGGCTTAGGGGTTAACGGTTTAAGGGTTTGGGGTTTAGGGCTGTGTTTTGTGGAGGGGTTGTTCTCTTTACGTGAGGGTGTTTATGAAGTTTACGGTGCAGCTGGGCCGTTCTCCAACTGGCTCGGCCTACTTCGGGTCCTTCTTCGAAGGAGCCACAGCTTGGGTTCTATATTGGGCTAACTTAGTGTACTTGTATGTTAGAGCGGTATATTTACGAATCACTCAGGTGACAGTACATGACAACATCCGCAAATATTTCAGCCTCTGGTAGGACAAAACGCAGCATTTGGCTGCTAGTGTTCGTTTGGGGGTCTTCAGGATTTTGTTTCGCTTTAAGTGCCAACGCAGCCACCGATGGAAACACCTCGCTTCGGAGTTACAGCAATCCGCTGCTGCTTGAAACCTGTAGCGTTAGCCCTCGAACCTTAAAACTTTGAACTGAACTGAAGCAAGAGCTACAAAATAGACGAACCACGAAAAGAAGCAAGGAAGAAAACAACAGCAAACAGGAGATATCGTGATCATGGTCCCAACAGAAGCAATAGCAATGGCAGTAATAGCTGCACTAGTAATAATGATTAGGACGCTTCTCGTCTTGAAGTAGGAGTAATACTGCTACCAGTATGAAGACGAATTTACATACTCCACGAGGTACGCCTACTCCACGGATGCCTAGCAAGCTGGAGGTGGTATCTGCTGCGGCCCAGAAGGACGCGGATTGTTCTCTTTTCGTTAAGGCTGTTGTTTGATGGTTGTATTCTTCGGATGGTTTTGGGTTAGGATGCGAATGTCTACGTAGGGAAGACATCTTTAGGAGATAGGAGTGAGAGGGATGTGGGGTTTAGGGGTAGAGGTTTCTGCCGTGTTGACTGGGCTTCGCAGAGCTTTGTGACGGTTTCAACTATTTGCTACTATCTTGATTTCCGGGTGGTTCTTGGGTCTTGGCTTTTTTAACGTTGTGTCGCGAGCTAAGCTACATTTTCTTACCATTCTTCCATCTGTCGAAGGTTTTTCGTTTCGTATCTTGCAAGTTGCATTCCCTTTCTGCGGCACGGACGCCGGGATACCCTCAGCCGGTTGCGGTGTAAGGCTTGAGAACTCCAGGTCTGCAGGATTTCGTGGCGGACTTTAACTTTACCATGATACCAGATCATACAATATGACATAAGCAGGTAATCAGCCTAAGGTGATACGGCATTGTCGGAGTTTCGTCGTTTGCATTGGTTCCCAGCGGTTTCGGCACCTCGTTTTGAACGTGTGGGGATGACTATAAGGATTATATATTAGGGCGGGCCGATGATTTCTGTCTCCGCGGTTCAAGCTGCAATCTCACGACCGTTCCATGAGCCGGCAGACACAGTGTTTCTTCCTTTTCGTGTTGATCTTCTCCGTTGTCGGTGGTGGTCATGATGGTTGTCCAGAAACAGCTGCAGTAGTAGTAGTAGTAGTAGTAGTAGTAGTAGTAGTAGTAGTAGTAGTAGTAGTAAGAGCAGCAGCAGTATTAGCAGTAGTTGCTGTTGCAGCAAGACTAGTGGTAGTAGTAGTAGTAGTAGCAGCAGCAGCAGTAGTAGCAGTAGCAGTAGTTGTTGTTGAAGCAAGACCAGTAGCAGTAGCAGTAGTAGTAGTTGTTGTTGTAGTAGACGAAGTACAGGTATCAGTTGTAACCTACTTTGTAGTAGCGGCAGTAACGGTCGTAGGACTTTGTAGGAGTAGGGTTCAGAGTGGGAGTGTGAGTGAGAGGGTGGTACCTCGTCCAGAGAATGCAGTGACCCGATCATCCACCCACCACTACCGAATCTGGCGCATACACCCCTATTAACCCTATTGAAAAGTTGCTATTGCTGAGGGTTGATCTTCCACCCGTACCTAACCCTGAGACTCAAAGCTCCCATTCTCGAGATGTCTATGTTGAAGTGCGAGCTTCAGAATTCGAAAACGATGAACCACTAGATAGTAGGCTCTAACAACAAGAAGCTCAAAGAAGACGCCTGTATCCCGCAACGACCCTCATGGTCAGAATATAGGTACCGAGCCCCTTATCATAAGAACTCCCGACCCCAAAAAGACCCGAGGGCGTCCCTTTCTTGGAGTCGGCAGGATGCCGCCAGCGAAAAGAAGCAGAAGCTCAAAAGCCGCTCATCCTTGTGGTCTTGTATAGGTTAGAAGGGGCCCCCACCCTGTAATAGTGACTATATAGGGATTATATTAAGGCCCTATTTTATTCCTATTATACCACTATTACAGGGTGGGGGCCCCTTCTAATGTACAGGCTTCTATGCGGCTTTATGAAGGCTTCACAGGTATTTATGGCGCACCACAAAATGAGCCGTTGGAGTCTCTGATTCTTGGGACACCGTAAGGGAGTGGGCCAGGTGCCCGAGCAAGCATTGCTTTATTGATTGCTGGCACGGGTAGGGCTTGCAACTCCTCAACGTGCGACAGGCAACAGCCTTGCTGCTACGCTTGAAGATATAGCGTTCCTTCATGCTGAGTATTTTCTGTAGTTTTGGCACCTGTCCAAGGGTTTTGAATGAACAACCTGAGCACAAGAGGGTGTCCTCGGCTGAGGCATGCGGAAGATTCTCAAGCGGCTGGACGGTATGCTCGAGGACCTGCAGGGGTGCAATAGATATGTACTGTAGTTTGCTTCTATGCGGTCACTGTCTACATTGAGTTAC